AGAAATTTATTACTCAATTCAAAACAACAGAAAAAAAAATGATAGGTCACCATACTCGTTTGCGAGAAAATGACGATTTCCCTCTATGGCGAGGTCCAGCTGTAAAGAAAAAGCCGCCATTTTTTATTGCGCGCGCGCTAATCACGCGTGAAATTATGCGCAGTAGGGATGCGCAATGCAATACTGGGGAATAACCTTAAGATTACCAGCCTTGCAGTCAAAACGTCGAAATCTATCTCTTAAGTGACTTTGACACCCTGACGCAGACGATAAAGTGTTTGTTGTGTTAGATACCGCTGATCTCAATGAACAAAAAGAACCTTTTCCACGACGTACAATAAAAGTAATGCTTCAAATTTTAATGAAGAGTCGAAGGTATGTATTGTTTTATACGGAGACACCGCAAAACCCTGGCTCGTAAAAAAAATAAAAATAAAAGGAATAAGGCAAGCAATTGTAAGATGCGAGGGATCATACGATGACCAAGAATCTATATCATAGTCTCTTGTGATAACCCATTCCAATCAGTCATCTTCCACGTCTTATAAAAGTTTCAAAGAAACATCTTGGTACCAGCTAGCTGTGATCTAGAGACCATAAGCAACTAAATATATGTAATATATACCACACGAGTGAACAGTGCTTTTCACGCGTTTTGATTGGTTAACTCGGAGGCTAGGTGATTAGCAAAGTACTGCTCACCTCCGACGAGAGATTTTGCAATTTCCAGTCATTTGTTAGTTTACTTAATCTCCTTTTCTGAATGATGATATAAAATTGTTGTTTGAATTTTCTTTTCTCTTTTGCTTGTCGTAATGACTTTTTGCTATATTTGGGTAATCAAGATTATATTTCGAATGCAATTGTTATTTACAGAAAATGGGCATCTGTAAATGAAAATGTGCATTTATTTTTGTAGGCGGATGATCAGCTATGGACCATGAGAAATCCTCTAAGATATTTATTTGTAGATAGTTACATGTCTATATACTTCTAGTCCTGTCATTTCATGGGTGAAATTCAGTAGGTCTTTATAGATTAAATCTCACTTCTCGAACGTGCTGTTACGTCGATTTACTGAGTATTTCGAATAAAATTTTAAGCAGTTGAAGACATGTTGTTCGACATGTTCAACAGGCGTTGAGTGCCACTCGTTTAATTTGTACTGTGCCATTAATGAAATAGMGTTATTTTTAAAAATAAAATGATTTGGCAAGGCACGTTAGATTGAAAATTGAATGCTTGTGAGTCTTTCGTAGTAGAGGTGGGATATTCCTTCAAAACTCGGCTATAATCGAGAGCGTGGCGATTTTAAGGAATCTTAAAAGTGACGATTTTAAGGAAGTGCCGATTTTAATGAGTGTTAAAGGTGGCGATTTTAAGGAGACTTAAGAATGACAATTTTAAGGAGTCTTAGAAGTGGCGATTATAAGGAGTCCTAAACGTGGCGATTTTAGCGAGTCTTAAAAAAAAGCCACTCATTAATGTGGTGACATTTACGAGTAATGTTAGAAGTGTAAAGTTAGAAGTTAAGTTAACATTTACAGGTAAAGAATAACATTTTCAAATTAACGTAAAATCTATTTTAAAAAAAATTACTTAAGATGGTTTGCCCAGCTGCTACGATTGATTAACATGATCGTTTAAATTCCCTTCACGTTAACAAGCTGGCCATTGTGCTGTGGAAAGCGTGTACTGACGCAGAACACTGAATACATTTAATGATGAAGCTATGAAACTTGCTAAGTTATAATGACGGTGAGTGAACAAACTTCAATTCTTCTTTTTTTCATTTTCTTTTTTTACGGGGAATTCAAAACGTGTAAAATCGGATATTATAGTGTTAATCTACAACGCTTTCTACCGTTTAATATTGAGGATTTTAGAAAAAGGTTATTAAGCGGCGCGTTTATAACGTTAGACCAAGATTTCGGTCAAGGATAGAAATTGCAATGGAGTATTCCGAGGAGTGCAAAATGCTGTTTGCTCGTTATAAGCGAGCTTAAGCGGAAATCTCAAATCTGATTTCATTACATGAGCGAACTTCGAATTCACATGTAGACGTTCTTTGCGTCGCCCGATGAAAAGGTCGAGATGCATCATGACTAATCAAATTGGCAAGATAAACGTAATCTGTTCAGTAATAAATAGAGAGATGTTAGCTGAAATTAGTCTAAATATACCTGGTCTTTTAACTGAACGCTTTTTGAGTCGCGGATCGAAAGCAGAATCATGCGACTGGCTGGCCAGCCCATTGCATGTAAATAATTTAAACTTGCTTTGTTCAGTTATCTCATTAAAAAAGTGTATCTTACGCCAATTTGTAGTCTTACGCCGATGAAAATGTAGATAAGAGATCATCCATTATAATTACAGTATTGTGATGATGTAATATATTATATATTACAGCTGCCACTGAGCTCTATTCGTTAACAAAAAAAGAAACTCCGGCTGATAACCAGGATACATCAATATTAGGAAGTTCGACCGATTGATGATCTAAGAAGCGTTGAAGCGCTTTAATCTTTACAAATGCTCTGCTTTTTCGTAAAGTGAAATACACGAAAATCGACGATGGGCTTCAAGAAAGTTAGACATGCTTAAGGGTTGCCTATTTGCATGAATGCAAAATTAAATAAGAAAGTAAGAGGTTTTGGTAATTGCTTTTTTTTCTTTCTTTCAGTAATTTAATGTTGCACACTGAGAAGCCTTGAATAGAAATGGGCGAGGGACTTCATTTGACCAGCCAACATAAAGTTAACGAAAGACTCGCAAATACAATCCTGTCAACAGCAACTACTGAAGTTTCCAAAACTGTAAGCTCAATTAAAATATATCTATATACAGCTTATAATTTAAGAAACGCAGTCGCTTTTTTTTTAATACTCTTGTTCGTGTCGTTAAGAAGTATTTTATCACAAATTTAATTATTGTTTAATGCTTTAAAAAAATTGCGAATTTAAACAGTTTTTTATCCGGATGATTTGACCCAGCAATGCAATAAATATGATTTCTTTTTATTTCAGACGTGTTAGATTAAAACTTCAGACCATGACGTCAAAGCTGTTATGGTCATTTTTGCTCCTTACCCTTGTGACAGCAGTTTCATCGTGGACCCATACTGAAGGTAAACATCATCAGTTAAATTAACATGTTTACTTCAATGTATAACTGGTGAACCATACAGATTACCACGAGTTTTGGATTTTAATCACCATCCAGCAGCGTGATTTCTGAGGAAAAGAAAGCTTGGTTTGCTTCTTCGTTTGTGCGGGGTGTCTGAAAAACCCGAATAGCGAATAGCGAATAGTCGCGAATAGTCCCGAATAGCGAATAGTACGAATAGTGTGAATAGTCTCGAATAGTGCAAATAGTGGCGAACAGTCTCGAGTAGTGGCGAATAGTGGCAAATAGTGGCAAATAGTGGCAAATAGTGGCAAATAGTGGTAAATCGTAGCAAATATGGTACCCAGTTTCTCGCAGTCAACCTCGCAGCAACGTAGGATGGGATTTTCCCGCTAAAACGCGCAGACGCTTATCAGGACAAAAGGTGTTTCTAAACCGTAATTTCTTCTGTTTTAACCGCTACGAAAGCGTAAATACGTCTTTATTAGGTTATCCTTGTGTTTTCTGTTTTCTTAATGTCGGCGATGGACAGCCCTAGCCTGAGTCCGGAGAAGAAAAGGT